ATAATTACCAATGATGATATAGTGAGGCTTGGGAATATTTGTAAATTTTAATAATCTGTTGGTAATACAATTAAAATATAAATACAAAATACATCAGTTTAAAATCATATTCACACAGGAGTTGAGCGCTTACCTGTCATCCATTCTACAGTATTATTTGCAAATGCAGGTCCTAATCTCTCGCATATCTTAATTGCAACGAGTTAAATTATTAAATGGCTGTTGACCATAGAAATTGTTTTTGTGTTTGCCAAGTATTTCACCAATATTCGGATTCTTTCTTTATATGAGTGAACGGGAGATAGTTTAAAGCCATATTGTAAAACTAGGTGGAAGCGTACCAATTCAATATTGAAATTACAACATTATCTAAATGCCTTATCATCTTTTCTCCTTATGTAATAATAGTTTTTGTGCTTGTTTAATGGTAATTAAGTTTGTTCAGAACATTCTGATTCCATTTCTACTGGTGATATACTTGAAATTTTTGAGAGAGTTTTTTTTTTGATGTTAAAATTAGTCAAGAATCAAAAGGTGCAATTGTTATATCGATTGGTACAGATATCAAACTAATTTCAACGTCAGTAAGTCAAGAACTACGTCAATATTGCATTTCTGTATTCAATAAAAGGTGGAAGGATCATGAATGTGATGCCTACCTGCCACCATATTTTTTCTCTCGAAATACAAAGGTAAATGTCATTTATTTGTTTTTCAAGGTACAGGATTATTACGCGGTCAATTTATTTGATCGCAGGAACCATATGTAAAACTTATCTCTATATACGAATGTAAAATTAGGAATTCATCTTTTCTGGTGAATTTATTATCAATTAAACTATTTAACAACCAAACTATGCCAAACTTCATATGTATCATTTTGTCAATCACAAAGAAAAGAATTAAATTATTACGGTCAAATTCTTCACTAGATGAAGTGAGTTCCAATTGTCTTGCGATCACCATAAGTATACTTGAAAGTGATAAACATGTCTTGGGAAACTTTAGATTCTGATTACTTTATCTATACAGAAATATAATAATCTGATAATTTAACCGGATGGAATAATTAATTTATTTTCCATTTTTTATAAGATAAAGTGCTGTAACAAGACAAAATAATAGGAATTCACGGTTATTATTATGATGTTCAAAAATTACCTGCAAATTTCTTAAATGAATAATAATATTTATTTTTTTGTGATAATTAATATATCTTTTGCTTTCGATGTAATTATGACCACCTTTTCTTTCGTCTTTTTGACTTGAAGCTTTTTGATAATTTTGGGTATTGATAGTAAGTCAAAAACCTAGAGTTTCTATGTATATATGGGGCATGCTGCAACAAAACCAGACAAAGTGAACATTGGTATTACCAAAAATTTTAGGGTTCAAAATTTAGTAATGTGATTATTAAAATCTCCCATTTGTTATCCTCTTAATATTATGTGATATATAGAACTATTCCTATATAAAAATAGTTAATATGAAACTTATTTATATCAGGTCTACTATGGAACCTAAGAATTACAGCACCATTAGAAGTATTTTGAAGAAGGAACAAGGTGAAAAAATTGCACCTTACATTTTCAAGATAAATGATACTCAGACACTTGAAGCTTATCTAAGAAAAGAAAGGATTACTTATGAAATTTACCAAGAAGAAAGAAAAATAATAAATGTTGGAAAAAGAAAACATTATGATGATGCATTATTACCCAACAAAATGCAAAAATCTTTAAAAGGAAAATAATTTTATAGTTAAAATGAATTTCAATTTATACACAGGGAAATTTCCTTAATTACTTTTTTATTTTCAATCAGGATCATCTTTTGGTCTCTTTGACTTCAATTTGAGCTGTTAATTGACCATTCTGTTGATCTTTTAATGACTTGTTTTCCTCTTCTAGTTGCCTAATTTTTTCTTCTAAACTCTTTATCTTATCCAATAACTCTTGTTTCTGTTTTTTACTTCACTCTTCAGATATTTCTTGAAATTTGGCTACCTCCTCTCTTTCAACTTCTAGGGGCTTCCTCTGCAATGGCTAATTCTTCTCTTAAAGAATTTATTTGCCTTTCATAAAAAGCGGACATACTCTCTCTTTCCTGAGGCAATTTAGGAAGTTCTTTTTCATTTCCTTCTTCTTTACAATCACAAGTGTATCTAGTCTTTAATCTTCCACAACTGCATTTAGGCAACTCATCATTTTCAAACTTTTCTTTACAACTCTCACAAACCTTATCACTTTCAATCATTTCACCAGTCACTTTGCTTCGTGTTCTGATTGGACACACTACATTTTTTAAACCAAAGCAAAAAACACAAGTAGAATTACTGCTATGTCATTCTTCTAACTCCAAAATAGTGTAAAGTAATTCTCTCATAGTAGTAAAGTAACTAATTAACTTTTACTTCTATTTGAGCAGTAAATTCTTGGGCTTGATGTTTTTTATTTTCTACCAATTGTTGAAGTTTTTGGAACTTGGTTTTAATTTGTAGAAAGAAAAAAGTACAGATTAATTATTGAATTTTTTTTTCCGCGAACAAAAAATTTTTTTAATGCTAACAGGAAACGAAAAATGCATTATTTAAAGAACAACTTCATCACCACCAAATTATAGTGATCGATTTACTGTGATTCAACAATAAAAAAAGTTCAGCATTTAAAAGTGATAAAATAGAAAACAAAAAATTAAAACTTATAAAAATACTAAAACTGTTTTATGTGCTATGTAAAGGTCGTTCTAAGTTGCTTGCTTCAAACTCTGACACTAAAGACAGCCCAAGCACATTATTAATGTTACTGTGTATTATTATTACACGTAGTTAACTTCCAAATTGACACAGCTCATACGTATGTGAAGACAATTTGATTTTATGAAATATAATAATTTTGATTTGTAAAAATAAAAGGTATTTTTATTTTGAAAGAAAATATACAGAAAAATCAAGTAATTTAAGTAAAAATTTCTTCAGTGATAATTATTCTTCTTGGATCATTACAATATACACAATGATGTAAACAATTCTTTATTCATTTTCGAGACACACATTTTCAAACTTTTTATAAACCTATTTTATCATTATCATTATTGCTGCTTGTATCAAATGGTTTTTACTTGCATTAAGCGTTTTTACTTATGTCGAGCGTTTTTTAATTACGTCAAGTGGTTTTACTTTGGTCAAGGGCTTTTACTTTAGTCAAATTGTCAAGATGATAAATTACCTTTAGCCAATATTTTAACTACGTCAATGACTAAAGTCAAAAATTTTCATACATCATCATTAATATCAATAGTTCGATCGTAAATGCACAGTAAATCCTGATTTAACGGACATTTTATACTGGAAATCTATCCGTATTAATAATACAGTTGAACCTCGTTATAATGTACTCTCGTTAACAACATCAAGCTGCTCCAAACGAATACCTTTTATAGTGAAATGGGGAATTGTGCATTATAAATGATTTAAAAACTTTTTTTTTATATATTACAATACAATGCCACAAAAAAATAAAATAAAACATTGGACTCTCATTATTATTATAACGAGCTTTAGATATTTTAAATTCGTTATGACTAATGACGTCAGCCGGCTAAAAAATTGGATAATAAAAATCACTCAAAAAGTTTGACATTATAAATATTATTTTTACCAAATCTATATAAATAAATTCACAGCGTATGAAAACAACCTTTCGGATGGCACTTGCATAGCAAGATTTTTTTTAACTACACCAAACAAGTGGTACATGTTTTATTATTGTTGTTTTTCCAAAATACTTGCATGTCCAACTAACATTATTTCTTACATGTCGAACAGATCTTTTTTGAATAATTGTATTATTATTTGAGTTGGACTTAAATGGAAATGTAAACCAGTATTATCCAAGTCATCAGATGAATAGATTCAATAGTTGTATCAGAAACATCTATATAATTGTCAGATACATTTTGATAATAATCTTTTAAAAAATTATCTTTATTAATCCATTCAAATTCCCTTTCATGATCAAAAGGTTCACCACAATTATTATTACCTAGTGGCTCGTTATTATTACTAACTATTGTTATTATTACTATTACTCCTATTACTATTTACTAATATTAATAGTATTAATAATGAACCACCATTAATAATATATTATTATTCATGATATATCTCTTAATTAGCCGCCATTACTATCATTTAATGGTTCACTACTATTATTATTATTATTATTATTATTATTATTATTATTACTTTCTTTATTATTATTACCTTTTATTCTGCTACGAGTATTGTGTTTTTTGGGGGCAAATTAATTTTCTTTTTCGTCATTCAAAGTAATGAAGAGAATTAATTTTTTTTATTATTATACAGCCGGTTAAACCAACCCACCATCTCTATTGCAAATGCTCAAAAGTATTTTAAAACAATTTTATGTTACACGATTTTATTTTGCAATTTAATAGTTATTTATAACAGATAACAAAGTGTTTAAGTACTTCATGACTGTTAGTATTAGTATAAAGGACATATTAAAGCTT